CATCCTCTGCAGTCAGCTTGAGAACAGTCTGAGGAAGGGGGGTGCAGAGCAGTGCAGGGGAGGGGCCAGCTGGTCTCCTGGGGCAGCTCCGTAGTGGGGAGTCCCCCTCCCCCCAGTAGGTGGTGCGGGCTATCTCTGCTTCCCTTTCTCTGCTTCTCCCTCCTTCCGCATTCTGGTCTCTGCCAGGGTGTGTGTGTGTGTGTGTGTGTGTGTGTGTGTGTGTGTGTGTGTGTGCCTGTGTGCCTGTGTGAGGTCACTGCACATCTGGGAGGGGGAGTGCCTGCCTGGCAGTGCCAGGGGCCCGGAGCATTCTCTGGCTGTTGCCCAAGACTGATGTTTCAACCTTTATCTTGCTTCTGAGCCATTGTGTCTCTGGGGGTTGGGCGGCCAGCTCTGCTGAGCAGGGACTCCCTGCTCTGGGAGGTACTGAACGCCCAGGTAAGAAGCTGGGCCCATGGGCACAGTCTCCCCTTGTGGCCATGGCCAGCAGCTTCCAGGACCATGCAGCCCCTCATTCCTAGGTCCCCGCCTTCCTCCCCACTAAGCCCCCATCCCTCTGCCCACTGCAGCTCTGGCTCCGCTCACCAGGCTCAGCTGTCCCCAGTAGAGTGGCCAGCCTTGGAGTTCAGTGTTGCTGTATTGAAGGGGCAGGGTTGTCCACACCTGCGTGTGTGTGGGGCCTTGGACTCCGAGGAGGGAGAGGTGGCGCTTGCCTGGACTGTAGGAGATAGTGAAGCTGCCATGCGTGCAGCCACCGGCCACAGACCCAAGCCCTGGGCTGCACGCACGCACGCAAGCCCAGCCGGCAGATGTTGGCCCTGTGTGGGTCTGCGGTGCGTCCCAATTGGCGCTTGCTCTTGGCTGCCGCGGTGCCAGCTGTGTGGCTTCTTAGCTGTGTCGACTGGCCTGTGAACATTCAACCCTTCTGAAGTGGGGAGCGGGGGCTGGGTGCTGGAATGCTTAGGTTCAAGTCCCAGATCTGTCCCCTCCTCCCCTTCCTGTTCCAGCTCCCTGCAGACCCTGGGAGGTGGTGCTGCTGACTCAGATCCACGTGGAAGAGCTGGAATGAGCTCCTGGCCCAGGCCCTGGTCCTTGTAGCATTTGAGGACTGAGGCAGCAGGTGGGAAGCACTCTCTCGCTCTCCTTTCAGATAAAGAGAGCAAATGGACCCAGTCAGGGTAATAGTTGGTGGCTGGGGACCCCAGGGAAAGGTTAACTGTCCATGAGAGAGGTGCACACGTACCCCCAGAAGGGACGTGGCAGGAACGACATGGCTGGGCCTGGAACACCTGCTAGTGCCTGTGCATAGCCTCTCCCTGGCTGTGCTGGGGACACTGGAGTATCATGATGGTGGGATTAAGATACCATTGAGTGCAAAACAGGCAGGCGTGCAGTGTCAGACCCTGGCTCCCCATCAACGCCGTGGTGTGTCACAGGGTCTGGCGCTACTGGGAATGACTGCAGAGTTCTACCCAGGCACTTGCTAAGGGAGCCCCACTTGGGTCTGTCAGGCCTGGCTGGGCTGAACCAGTCTGTATGTGCCAGGCCTTCTGGGCACCGGTGCTGCAGCTGTTTGCTGCAGACAGCTCTGTGTTCATGGAGCTAACCCACGGCTCTGAGCAGCGAGTGTGGGCTTCGGGCAACCATGTGGTGACAGTGGTCCCCCTGCTGAGGACCACTCAGAAGGTGACCTGGAGACAGAGCTCAGACCAGGGTGGGCACAAGTTGGGGTCATCCACATGAGCACAGTTGCGGGATTTGGAAGTCCTGCGGTCTGTGTGCTCCTTGCTTTAGTCTAGGGAGAAGAGCAGGTGACTCTAGAATGTGGACCAGGCTACCACTGACTGATTGGTTCCCTAAAAACAGGCACTGTGGTACGACAGGCATAGCTGATGACCTGCAATGCAGCATCCCATTTGGGCGCTGGTTCAAGTCCAGGCTGCTCCACTTTTGATCTAGCTCCTTGCTGATGCACCAGAAAAAGCAGCAAAAGATGGCCCAGGTGCATGGGTACCTGCACCCATGTGGAAGACCCAACTGGAGTTCCTGGCTCTTGGCTTCAGCCCGGCCAGCCCTGGTCATTATGGTCATCTGGGGGAGTAAAACAGTGGATGGAGGATCTCTCTGTGTCATTTGGCCTTTCAAGACGATGGAAATCAACAAGTATTTGGAAAACGTATATAAAGTTAGTAGGTAGGTGGGAAAACTTTCTGGAATTAAAGAGAAAGAGAGATGCAAGAATCCACGCCAGGGTGTGAAGCAGCAATTGGGAGAGAGCTGAAAACCCCACAGATGGCCCAGGCGGGCGGAGGGGAGGGAGCAGCTGAGTGTGTGGACCCTGTGTGAGGTGGTGGTGGATGCATTGGGACCTCAACGGGGTTCGGCTGTGTGAGAGCCTGGTCTTGCAGAGGGATCTGAGGTGAGAGGCCTCCCTTGTGTTGGCAAAGCACAAGCCCAAGTTGAGCCCCCTGGTGCCTGCGGTGTCCTGGACCCTCCTAACTGTGGCCTGGGAAGGACACGTGAAGGGCGCCCCCAGGGACCCCAGCCTTGAACCTACACTTTAGGCAGTGGTGCCTGGGTGGCCAGAGGCCACTAGAGGCCGCCACCCCTGGACCCTGGCACCTGCGAGCAGGTGTGGACCCTTCATGAGGGAGATGTCCTGTGGGCTGGGAGGGAGCCAGGTCACCTCCATCCTGTCCCAGATGCTGCCTTCATCCCCTCACCCAATCAGGAGGGCCACACAACCCTTGTTTCCTTGGAGCCATGTCTCCAAGGAGCTGTGTGTGGGAGGGATGTGGCGAGCAGACCCCCGGGCTTGGGGTTGGCCCCTTTCTGAGGACCCCTCCTCTGTCGCTTTTTGGGGGGTGAAAGAGCCAGATCAAGGAAGGGGTCGGGGTAGGGAGGGAGGGAGTCTGGCTAGGGCCTGGGTGGCGTGTCCGCCCACCCAGAGGCTCGGTGGGAGGGTGTGAGGAGGTACATCCTGTCCCTGTGGTCCCCAGGGAGGAAGCAGTGAGGGCGGGCGCCCAGCCCCCCTTCCTCTCACCCTGCGCTTGCTCAGAGATTTCTTGTTGAGTTGGCCAGTGGGCAGGTGCCCGGGAGGAGGAGATGATGCGGAAGGTGAGGGTGTTGGCATTAGGCGGGGTGGGGGGGTCTCAGCAACTGGGTGAGTGGTTGGCTGGGAGACGCCCAGACAAGATGTTCCCAGCTAGCTCCATGCAGGGATGGGGTCAGCCCTGTCCCTGCAGCAACTGGGAAAGGGGTGTGTGTGAGAGAGAGAGAGGGGCTGTAGCAGGCTGGCTAAGGAACCTTTGGGCTTGGCTGTGCTTGGTCCTGAGTTCTAGAAAGTTCCATGGGCTGTCAGACTGGGCAAGAGTTCCCCATGGCCAGCATGGTGCAGGGGACTGGGCAGATTCAGGCTCCAGGGGATATGGTCCCTTCTCCCATCCCTGGAGGGTCTGCTGGGAGACCAGGGCTCAGCTGAGTGACCTGCTATCCCCACCCTGGCTGCTGCCACCCCTGACTGGGCAGCCCCAGGCCCGGTGTCTTGCTGAGCGTGAAGGGCCAGGGGCAGGCAGTTAGTGCCCAGCTGCTCCCAGGCCAAACCTGCAGGTCTGGGGTACGTGGCCATGGCAGGCTGGGTGCTGGCCCTAGGACTCACGGCCTTGCCTGTTGCACAGGATCCGATTTGAGACCTGAGCTCAGGAGCAGGGTTTCAGATGAGGGACACCCCGCTGAGGCCCCTGCACCCTGTGCCGGCTCAGGGGACCTTCCCTGGGGACTTCCCAGAGAGGCCAGAGCCTGGAACATGGCATTAGGTGCCAGCTCCCCTCCCCACCCTTCCCTGGGACCTGCCGCCCCAGGCACCTGGGCTGTACATCGGGCTGAGGACCTGGTGACAGGAAGCTCTGCTAGGAGGTGGTGACACAAGTGGTATAGATAAGGCTGCCTGGGCTGCCGGGCTGCTCTGTCGCTCCTTCCTCTGCCCGCCCTGAGTGTGAGTGAGCCTGAGCCAGCCTGGTGCTACGCTCTGGAGCTCTGCTTCTCACTTGAAGAAACGAAACGCTTATGTGCTTGAGAAACGGAGCTACAGAGAGGAGACAGAGATCTTCCATCTGTTGGTTCACTCCCCCAGTGGTTGCAACAGCTAAAGCTGAGCCAGTCAGAAGCCTAGAGCCAGCAGCTTTTTCTGGGTCGCTCCTGTGCGTGCAGGGGCCCAAGCACTCGGGCCAGCCTTTGCTGCTCTCCCAGGTGCATTAAGGAATAGATGGATCAGAAGTGGAGCAGCTGAGACATGAACTGTTACCCATATGGGATGCCTGCGCCAGAGGCGATGGATTCAACTGCTGCACCCCAGCCCTGCTCCCCCTCCCCACTGACTTTTGGGGCCCGCTGCCCACACCTTCCTGGGGTTCTGGTGGGAAAAGTCGGGGTGTAGGTTGTGCTGCCTGTCTTGCTCACACAGGTTTTATTTCAGTATCCTGCTCCCACCCCAGGTCACCTGAGACCCCACTGTGCTTGTTCCTTGAGCTGTGTCCATCCCTCCTGTCCCCTGCCACCTGTGGGGCTTGAGTGACTTGAATCCCACTCCCCACCCCCACATCCCAGTAGCTTTTGCTGTAAGCTGTCCCCTCTTTCTGAACTGCCACCTGCTACAGAAAATCCTCCCCGCTTGCCTTGGCAGCAGTGCCCATGGCTAACACTGAGCAATCTAGGTGCATCTGACCTTGCCATGGCTTTTGGACCAGTGACACCCTGCCTGCCAGGACCATTGGGCTGGGGAGGATCTCAGCCCTGTCTTGGCACAGGGCCTCCCCTGGCCTGGGTCCCAGGTGATCCCAGCTAGTGCTCCAGGCCTCACAGCCCAGCACTGCTCCCTGGGGCTGGGGCTCTGTGTGGGGCATCCCAGCAGCCAGGCTGGGTGGGACTGGACCTGGGCCCAGGGTCTCTGTGATGCTGCTTGTCTGGGTCACAGGTCACATCCCCTTCCTGTTCCCTGGCAGGTCTTGCAGAAGCTGGGGAAGGCAGATGAGACCAAGGATGAGCAGTTTGAACAGTGCGTCCAGAACTTCAACAAGCAGCTGGTGAGTGGGCTGGTCTGGCCATGGGGTGTCCAGGCGAAGGGAACTGAAACTGCTGGGTGGAAGATGGTTTGAGGTGAGCTCGTGGTGGCTGTGGGGAGGGTCAGGACTGAGGAGGCTCTGGAGGGCTTCCTGGAGGAGGGGTCACGGCCTTGGGTGAGAATATTGGGGGCGAGCAGTGAGGGTGCCTACTGCCCAAACTTATGCCACTGAAGTGGGACCCCTGACAATTAATTGGCCAGGGGCTGGAGATGCCAGGGAGCACATGGGAGAGGGTCAGGAGAGGAGAACATTCTGGGATGGAGCCAGGAGGCATTCTGGGATAGATCCAGGAGGCATTCTGGGATAGGGCTGGGGCACATTCTGGGAGACAGCACAGGAACATTGTGGGGTAGGGCCAGGAGAGAGTATTCTGGGATATGGCGAGGGAGCATTCTTGAGAGGTCTTGGAATGTTCTGGGAGGGGGCAATGGCAGCAGCAGCGAGAGGACCATGGAGCATTGTGGGAGACGCAGGGTGCATGCTTAGATAGAGCTGGGGAGCACAGGCTAGCCTGTGGGGGGTCCTTGCTAGCGGGAGGCTACCAGAGGATTCAATCCGAGGGCACCCCTGAGCAGGCATGGGGCTGGCATGCGGGCACCCCTGAGCAGACATGGGGCCATCATGTGGACACCCCTGGGCAGACATAGGGATGGCATGTGGGCACTCCTGAGCAGACATGGGCCGGCATGTGGACACCCCTGAGCAGACATGGGGCTGTCATATGGACACCCCTGAGCAGACATGGGGCTGGCATGTGGGCACCCCTGGGCAGACATGGGGCCATCATGCGGGCACCCCTGAGCAGACATGGGGCCATCATGTAGGCACCCCTGGGTAGTCAGGGGGCTGTCATACAGGCACCCCTGGGCAGGCATGGGGCCGTCATGCGGGCTTGCCTCCCATGGCAGGAATGGGAGGTGTTGAGGCTAAGGCAGGCCCCGTGATGGGACCTCTGTGGCTTTGTGGCTCGCACCCTGGGTCCTGAGTCCCTTCTCACCTGCAAGCCTCTGACGTTTTAGCTTCTGCCTCTGCCTCCTGGAAGCCGGTCAGCTGCCTGCGGGATGGGGGCTGCTTCTTGGGCACTTGCCCTGGACCAGGTGTTGACTGGTGTTTCCAGACTGAGCCTTGCAGTTTTTGCTCCATTAACTCCAATGAGGCATTGGTGACTCAGAGAGGTCAAGCCACACTTCCCAGGTCACACAGCAGGTATGGGAAGCAGGGGCTGAAGTGGAGGCACTGGGACTGGATGGCTGGGCAGAGGGTGAGGATAGGCCAGGCCTGGCCCCAGTGACTGTCCCCACTAGTCCCTCGGAGTTGCCCTGTCTGTTCCCCTGGCTTTGGGCATAAGGGAGTCCCCCATAGATCCTTGGGCCCTGGGGGATGGGGTTAGGGATATTTGGCGGTGGCTCTAGAGGGGCTCATGATTGGCTCTGTGACACCACTGGCTTTCCCTGGGTGGTTTCAGATCTTGTTTGGGTCTGGCATGGATTTGACTGGCATGGATGGGATGGGGCACATGGGGCCTGGGGTGCAATGGAAATGGGAGGGAAAGTAAGGGGTTCAGGCCACTATAACAGAGCTGCAGGGGGTGTGGCCTTCATCAGCCTGTGGGGTACATCCTGGCACCCTGGGAGAGGGCAGGATGCCTTCTTGGAAAGGCACGGTGGGGATGGGGTGTGGGGAGCCTGGAGGTGGAGCTTCCTTCTGCCTTTCTTGCAGGCTGGTGAGGGGTGGGGATGGCAGGGAGTGTACCTCCCAGCCCTTCCCATGGGCGCGGACCCTGCTGCCCCCGCCGTCCCATCCCCCAGGTGCTCAGCTTCATCTTGGGTCCTGCCTTCTGTCTCCGTACAGGGAGACCCTGGGTACTATACACTTGCTGCCTCCCACCCTAAAGCTCCACAAACCCAGGCGCTCTCAGAAGCTGCCCAGGTCGGCCAAGCTCCATCTCCTCCTTGGGGATATCCGAGGTTGGGCTCAGGTGCTTTGTCAGCCAGGTCGCGAAGTCCAGTTCCTTGTCCCCAAGGCCTCTCCCTGTTAGGGAGTGAAAGATTGTCAAGGCTGGGGCTACAGGTGATCCCTACTGGGGGGACCAGTGTGGAGGGAGGTAGAGCTGGTATCAGCTGGCCGAGTCCCTCCTAATGCCTGCATGCCCAGGAGACCCCAGGATCTTCCCCTTGAGCTGGGCTCTGGGGGAGCCTAATTAGAACAGTAGGAATTGTTTCTCGCCTGTTGAACGGATTCCAAGTGCACACTCCCTGTTTGGTGCTGGCTGGCTGGGAACAGCTGCATGGGGGCCCCCGGCTGGGGGAAGGGGTACATCTTCCATCCTGGGACCAGCTGCAGGGGCTGGAGGGAAGCAGGGCTCCCGGCGGCCCTAGCACATCTGTGTGCCACGTGGCCGCTCACAGCCCTGGGTTGTTCGCTCTGCACAAGGGGCCCTGGTACGGCCCGTGGCCCGACGGAGCCCAGCAGCCCGGCCTTAGGGATGCGGAGCAGGCTCAGGGGTGGCGGAGCAGGAGGCTGGTGTGCAGGCATCTCTGACATCATGTGACACTGTGACAAAGGAGGGATGGACCCTTCCCTGGGTCCTGGTCACTGAAGGAGGCCTGTGCACTGGTGGATGGGCAGCACGCAGGACTTTGTTTTAATCTCGAATCAGCGAGCTTCAAGCTCAGATGCCCTTGGGATCCTGTGTGGCCAGGAATCTGTCTTCCGCAGCACGGGATTTTGTGTTCAGGGGTTCTGACCACCACAGATCTCACCAACAAGGGCTCGAAAGTATCTGGGAAACAAATGTGGAGTTTGGTGCCTGAGGGCTGTTTCGGGGAGTAATTCCCTTGCCACTGCCCCTCTTTGATTGTTCAAGCACTGCATAATAAATCCCTTGCCAGATGTGCCTGCTGTAACGTAGTCACAGCCTTCATCATAATTAAGAGGCAGATCCAGAGGTCCTCACAGGGGACCGGTTGGGTAACTGTAAAGTGGCCTGTGGGCTGGGGGTCTTGGGGGCTTCCCTGGCTCCCTGCTCTGTGGGACTTGGGCATTCACGGTAGTCCTGAGGCAGATGGCACATGGAGGGGTCGGCCCTGGCAGGTGTGCCGGCACCACAGGAGGAAGAAGAGGCCCCACTGGAAAGAGATTTGTGGGTGCTGAGGGAGCTGCCTTCCCCCCTGTCACATGACCATGGAACCCCCTGTTCCCAGGCCCTTATTGCACTTGTGTCCAGCTGCCTGCTGTGTCCACGGCTGTGGGATAGTAGGTCTCTCCATGCCAATGCAGCTTGTTACCTGGGGCAGGAGGTAACAAGCCCTCCAGGGCTGGCAAGGATACCCAGCAGATCCAGGGCCAATGTGTCTGCGGGCTCAGGACTCCTAAGGCCAGCGGGTAGGGGGGCTGTGCTGGGAGCCCTCTGGGGCCTGGTTAGGTCTCTGGCAAATGGCAGGAGGTAGGGAGGCTCAGGGGCCAGCAATACCCTGGGCCCTCACCCTGTCTCTGTCTTTCTCTTTGCAGACCGAGGGTACCCGGCTGCAGAAGGATCTCCGGACCTACCTGGCGTCTGTCAAAGGTGAGGAAGGGGTTGTGGGGCAGGGCAGTGCAAGTCAGAGGACGGGGCAGGCTGCCATCCCACACTCAGCCTCCTGTCTGCCCCGCAGCCATGCATGAGGCCTCCAAGAAGCTGAATGAGTGTCTGCAGGAGGTGTACGAACCCGACTGGCCCGGCAGGGACGAGGCCAGTAAGATCGCCGAGGTGAGTCGGGTGCTGGGGGCAGGTGGCCTCAGGCCTGTCTGGAGTGCTCCCCTGGACCCTGAGTTCTGTGCCCCCCCAACCGGGCATGCCACTGCCCCTCCTCCTGACACACTCATGGTGACTGCCCGCGCCCCCCCCCCCGTGTGACCGCTCACAAAACTGTCCCATGATGTCACTCGTCCCCAGCGTGTCTCACCCTTGTGGTCACTGCATGGGGCTGCTGCGCTTCGGGGGACTGGGGCTGAGCCACAGGCTCCCTGGGGGAAGCGACAGGTGGAGTGGGGTGGCTCAGCCTCTCACGCTCTGGCCCCGTCGCAGAACAACGACCTGCTATGGATGGATTACCACCAGAAGCTGGTGGACCAGGCGCTGCTGACCATGGACACGTACCTGGGTCAGTTCCCTGACATCAAGGTGAGGATCCTCTGCACAGGTCTGTCCTGGCAGCCTTGAGGGGCACAGGGGGAGGGGGAGATCAGGGCTGGCTCAGGTGCTTGCTGTGGGTAGGCACCCGCCAGGCCTGGCATCGCAGCCCTGCAGAATGGGACCTTCTCAGGCCTCGAAGTACCAAGGCTGGGGGAGGGGGATCCCATGGTGTGTGTGTGTGTGTATGTGCATGCCCGCTGATCAGGGCTGTGTGTCCAGGGTGTGTGTGTCTGCATGCCTGTGTGGGCCAGGCACAGTGCATGCTGGGAGCTGACAGGACGGTCACTGGCCTGTGGGACCTGCCATCTGCTGGGTGTGGTGTGGTCTCTAGGGGCTGTTCAAGAAGGGAAGCTGAAGCCAGAGAGGGGGCTGGGGCTCCTCAGGCTATGTGTCTGTGTCCCAGCTCCCTGCTGACCTCGGACTCAGCATGGCCCCACCCCGTGTCTGTCCCCCAGTCACGTATCGCCAAGCGGGGGCGCAAGCTGGTGGACTATGACAGCGCCCGGCACCACTACGAGTCCCTTCAGACGGCCAAGAAGAAGGATGAGGCCAAGATTGCCAAGGTAGGAGCTGGGGGGCAGGGCCAGGGCATTGGTCTGCCCATTGGGAGCCAGGGCAAGCAGGTAGGGGTCCCAGCCTCCAAGGTGATCCTGTCTCCCTGAGCTAACCAGTCCTACGACTCCCTACTTCCCCGGGCTCAGGGTGTGGACCCTGAGTGGGGTCTGGGTGGTGGTGGGTTGTCTTCCCGCTCCAAGGAGGAGGAGGAGACCGTGTTCCCTGCGGGGACGGATCCTGCTTGGCATGCCCCAGAAGTGGCACAGGGGCAGGATGCCACACAGCGACCCTACAGTGTGACCCACCCCTCAGTGTGACCCCGGGGCAGCCGCAGCTCCACTAACGCCCTCACGTTCTGCTTGCACAGGGGGACTGCCGCCGTGTCCGCGGTGTCTAACGCCGGCGTCTCTGCTCTCTCTAACGTCCTCCGTCTCTCTCTCTCTCTCTCTCTCTCTCCCTCCCGCCCTCCACTCCCACCTCTCCTCTCCCGCGCCCGCCCCGCCCCCAGCCTGTCTCGCTGCTTGAGAAGGCCGCCCCCCAGTGGTGCCAAGGCAAACTGCAGGCTCACCTCGTAGCCCAAACTAACCTGCTCCGAAATCAGGTGACACCGGCTTCTAACCTCGCACTTGCTGCCTGCGACCCCATAGTCCATTCCGTCCGTGCACGCGTGGGCCTCGGGGGTGCCTCGGGTCGTCTGTGCCCCGCGAGGGCTGCCACGGGTGGAGAATCTGAGGGACCCCCGCATCCCTCCAGCCTCCTAGAAAAGCGCTCCGGGACAGTGTGGGACTTGCCCCCAGGAGCTGTCTAGTGGCAGACTTGGGGCTCCCTCAGGTCCCTGGGGGTTATCCTGGACTCGCGATTCAGGATTCAGCGCGGGTGGGGCTTGCCCCAAGTGCCAGGAGCCCATGGGCCTCCTGGTGACTCTGGAGGGGACGTGGGAGGGCTGCACCATGGGGCTGGACAGGGCAAGGCTGGCCTGGGGACACTCAGCGCTGTGGTCATCTGGGATGCTCAGAGGGAAGGTTTTGCCCCAGAAGTCCCGGGCTCACCCTGGGTTCCAATATGGCCAGCAGCTATTAGCCCCAGCGCCCCATGCTGGGCTGTGAGGTTTGTCCCACTGGGGACCCTTCAGAAGGTAAATGCAGGTTTGTGTAGAGCAGCCTGAGTAGGACTCCGGCATCTCTCCCCTAAGGTCTGGGTCGGGCACTGGGGGATTCAGGTGTGTCTGGGGTGACCCTGGTGCTGTAGGGCACACCCTGGGCAAGCATCTCCGGGAAGTGCCTATCTCTGTCCACCTGCCAGGGTGTCCTGTGTCCTGCTCATTGTTGAGCCCCAGCTGGGAATTCTGCAAGGTCAGGGGTGGGGGTGGCTCAAGGGGGATGGCCCTGCTCGGACTCCCTCCCTGTAATCCAGCTGCAGGTGTGTTTCTTTCTGCCAAGCTGACCTTCCCATTGGGGTCCCATCTGTACTGGAGGGTCGCCCCCTTCCCAGCCCCCTGCTGGTGTTCTGGGCACGACTTTGGGGTTGGCTACAGGGGCCAGGAGGCTGGTCAGTTATGGCGAGATGATGCCTTGTCACAAGGCTGCTGGGACCCGCGTGCCCCGCACCCCCACCCCTCAGGTCCATCCTGGGCTGCTGTTCACACTGGCCACAGCCTCCCTGCTGGCCCACATGGCAGATTCGGGCTTTGCTCCCCCTGCCATCCGCACAACCTGGGGCTGTGTGTGGTCTTCTGTGCCAAGTGGAGATGAGGGAGGGGCCAGCCAGGGGAGGGGCCCTGTCCCGTGGCCTTGCCCTCGCGTCTCATACCTGAGAGGGATCTGGGCCGCTGCCCCTGGCCCCTGTCTGCTGGGAAAGGATTGGAAGAGATGGAGAGGGAATGGCGGGGAAGTGGTGCTGGGAGGTGAAGGGAGGCTCTAGGCATTGGCTGAGTGGGACAGGAGGTGGAGGTGCCAGAGCACACTAAGCCCCTGCCCCTTCCTGCGGCCCACTCCCCACCCTCCCAGCCCATGCCATTTAGCTCTGGGGCCACAGGAATCAAGCCTGGGTCAGCACCTTTCAGAGTGCCGGGCAGGGGGTGGTGGGGTGGGTGGTTGGGACACAGGCCCAGGGGAAGAAATGACCTACCATTTTCCCCAGGCCGAAGAGGAGCTGGTCAAAGCACAGAAGGTGTTTGAGGAGATGAATGTGGACCTGCAGGAGGAGCTGCCCTCGCTGTGGAACAGGTGCAGCCGGCGGGCATCCCCGGGGCCTGACCACCAGGCTGTCCTGAGGGCCTGCCCCCCTCTCAGGCCTGCGTCTGTGGTTGGGTGGGCACCCCTGGACTCCTGGGCTCTCCCGGGACACCTGCTCACCATCCCTCCCCCTCCTCTGGCAGCCGCGTGGGATTCTACGTCAACACGTTTCAGAGTATCGCTGGCCTGGAGGAGAACTTCCACAAAGAGATGAGTAAGGTAGGCCCGGGTCCCACTGGAAGGCACAGGGCAGTAGGGGACAGCCCCAGCTCCCCATCCCTGCTGGCATTCAGCATTGCTGGTGTTCAATGCCCAATGATGGGGGTCTTTCCTAAATATGGTTTCCTGCCCTTTTAGATTTTTTTTCTTTTCTTCCTGCTGTTCCTTCTTCTCTCCAAAGATGTGCACCAACTTAGGAAAAGGTGAAAGAACAGAGAGGCGTTGCAGGGAAGGAAACGTGTGTGACATGAGTCCCTGGAAACATGCCACAGGGCAGAGCTGTTTGCATATGGGAGGAGGCCCTGAGCTTCCTGGCGGCTAGAGTGAAGGAGACATTCTGAGTGCTGGGGCCGGCTGTGTGCAGGCAGTAGGCAGCCCTGGAAATGCAGTGTTTCCCGAAGCACAGGTGTGCTCTCTGTACACAGCAGGCAGAGGAAAGGCGGCTCCTGGAGGCAAGGACCGTTGGCAATGCAGCCCACATCGTCCCTGGTCTTTTGGGGTTTGTGGCCTAGTTTCCAACACTGGCTGTGGGGAGGGAGCCCAGGATGGGGGCTGAGCAGAGGGGTCTTGAGGAGTTTGTGCGGCTGTTGGGTGCCCCAGAGGCCTCACCTGCTTGCTCACACTTCCTCCGACTCTCCCCCTGCAGCTCAACCAGAACCTCAACGACGTGCTGGTCAGCCTGGAGAAGCAGCAAGGCAGCAGCACCTTCACGGTCAAGGCCCAGCCCAGGTGGGTGTTGGGTGTGTGTGTGGGGCGGGGAAAGAGACACATGCCCCTTGGAGTGGCGATGGTGTGGGAGGGGCGCCCCGAGTGGAGAGAGGGGGCTGCTTCCTGGAACCCTCCTTGGTTCCTTGGGCATCCAGGGACCTTCCCAGCTCAGCTTCTCTTGCAAGGGCAGCAAGTGGAGGTAGGGCAGTGTCCTGGGACCTCCTTGCCCTTCCAGGGTTGTCTCCTGGAAGCTGGGGTCTGCAGGTCTCCGAGTCTGGAGCCCCGACCCCTTGCATGGAACAGGAGCTATTATCAGAGGAGGGAGCCAGCAGCTGGGCCGGGGAGCAGGGACCGGTCACTCCTGGCAGCCATCTCCTGGGGGGCATCCTGGCTGGGCAGAGGAGCAGAGGGGCAGGGACCGGTCATCCTGGGGGCATCCTGGCTGGGCAGAAGGGCAGGGACCGCTCACTCCTGGTAGCCACCTCCTGTGAGGCATCCTAGCTCTTCAGGGCTGGGAACAGCTGGCACTGCCTTTTCCTGTTCAACTTCCTGTCCCGGCTCTGCGGGGAGCCAGGAGATCCCCGTTTCCTGAGGGGAAGCCTTGGGGAAGAAGGGTGGGACCCTGGCTCTCCAGTCTGTGGGGTCAGTCTGGGGTTTCCATGAGTGTGTACACCTGTGTGTGTGCGTGTGTAAGTACATGCACATATGTGTGTGCCTGTGTACGTGTGTGTGCACCTGTGAGAGCATACGCATGGGTGAGCGAGAATGTGCACACGCAAGAGTCACAAGGACAGAGGGAGCCGACAAGCCTTGCTTTCCATGTCTGTGAAATGGGCTGATTGTATCTGCTTCTTGGGGGTGACTGGGATGTTGCTGAGTCTGAGTGGCGCTTCCTTCTGCATCCTCTGTGGCTGGGCGGTGGCAGTCCGAGGCCAGCACAGAAGGGATAGCCAAGGAGCTGGCCAGGGCAGTGCGGGCAGCTGCGCTTGGGCAGAGGGTCTGAGGGAAGTGGCTAAGGTGGCCCATTGAGCACCTGCCTCTTCGGTCCCCTGACCAACTGACATCTTCCTGGCACTGTGTAGCCTGGGGCCCCATCCTCGCCCCGAGGCAGGTGGACCTGCCCCAGCTCAACCTATCTGGAGCACATGGCAGGTGTTAGGTCCTGGTGTGTGGGCAAAAGCAAGCCCGGCCTTTTTAGGGGTGCGTTTTGCCTCTGGCCAATCTCCAAGTTGGTGAAGGGGGGAAGGGGCCAGGCCAGCCCAGCCTCTGACATTTCCCCAAAATGAAGGCATCCACGTCCCATCCGTCCCCACAGAAAGAAAACAAAACTGTTCTCGCGGCTGCGCAGAAAGAAGAACAGGTACTGGGTGACTGGAGCTGCTCTGGGGGGCCTTGGAGGCCTGTGTCTTGGCCCATGGCCATGCATGCGCTCCCAGGGCGCCACTAACTCCTAACCTGCCCCATGTGTGATGTTGCCGGGTGCGGGACCAGGGCTGCTGGGCTGCGTCCTGGTGTGCGTGTGTGTTGGGTGGGGGAGGTGGGGCAGAGGGGCATGGGAGGCTGTGTGCGGGAAGGCGTCCCTGGCCAGCAGGGAGGTGGACTGAGGACCTGACCCTCTTAGCGGCCCCAGGCTGTGGCCTTGCACCACTGTGCGCTTGAGTGTGAAGGGGTCAGGGAGGTAGCCCAGCAGGAAGTCTTGGGGGCTTGGAAGGGGACACTGCGGTATGGTGGGTTTTGTATCTTATTTATTTAATTTCATTTGAAAGGTAGAAACACACACACGCACAGACACACAGACAAACCTGCAACACGGAGCCTGCATCCCTGGGCCCACACCTGCTGCCTCCTGGGCTGCAGGGTGGCAGGATCTGGCATCAGGGGGCCAAGCCTGAACTTGAGCTCGTGCCCTGGGGTGAGGGCGTCCCCAGCTGTGTTTCAACATTTGTGCCCATCTGTGCATTGTAAATCATGGCTGCAAAACAGGCTTTTGTGCTTCTCTGAGAGCGCTTCAGAAAAGCTTGTGGGAAACTGATCGTGTAAGTATGAATCTATCTGAGTTCAAGAAATTGAGATCTATGCCTAGCTTCTCATGATATACATTTTCCAAGGATTTTTAAAAAATTTTTATTATTTTTTTATTGGAGAGGCGGATATACAGAGAGGAGAGACAGAGAGGAAGATCTTCCGTCCGATGATTCACTCCCCAAGTGAGCGCAATGGCTGATGCTATGCTGATCCGAAGCCAGGAGCCTCACCCAGGTCTCCCACGCGGGTGCAGGGTCCCAAAGCTTTGGGCCGTCCTCGACTGCTTTCCCGGGCCACAGGCAGGGAGCTAGATGGGAAGCGGGGCTGCCGGGATAGAACCGGTGCCCATATGGGATCCCGGGCGTGCAAGGCGAGGACATTAACCACTTGCGCCACCGCGCTGGGCCCCAAGGATTTTTTTTTTTTAAATAGAAGATTTATTTATTTTTGTTAGGAAGGCATTTTTTTTTTTTTTTACAAGAGAGAGTGATGGAGAAAAAGACCTCTCATCCACTGGGTTACTGCTCAAATGGCCATAATGGCCAGAGCTGAGCTGAAACCAGGAACCAGGAGCTTCCTCTGGGTCTCCCACATGAGTGCAGGGTCCCAAGGCTTTGGGTCGTCCTCGACTGCTTTCCCAGGCCACAGGCAGGGAGCTGGATGGGAAATGGAGTAGCCAGAACATGAACCAGCACCCATATGGGGTCCTGGCATTTATAGGTGGGGAGTTAACCAATCGAGTCAACTTGCTGGCCTCTCATGGATTCTATACAATTTTTTTTTTTTTGCACTAAAATAAATGCATAATTTTCATTCTATTCCCCCACCCCCAGAAACTTCTTGAACTACCCTTGTAGGTATTTTGAAGGTGGCAAATGGTTTCTGTCCCACTACTGTCCCGTCCCCAGGCAACCTGGGCAGCCAGACCCCTTGGTGGTTCATGAGCAGTCATGCTGCGGCCAGTGCCATAAAGGAGTGAACACTCGGTTTTGACTCATTCAGTCACAGTGGAGCTGAGAGAGCCCACTGCTTTTCCACTGTTGCCCTGACAGCACAGGGTCGTCCCCTGGCCCTGCTGCGGCCTGCACTGGGCCGGGACAGCTCACTGGGCTGGGCACACAGGGAGCTTCAGGGGTGAGAGGCTGTGCTGTGATGGGGCTGGGGTCGGCGTCTTTTGTGGTGGGTGGGCTCTGGGCAGAAGGTCTGCTGTGTGCTGTGGAGACTCGCTTGGCCTCTAGGGTGTCTGGCTTCCTCGTGCAGTGGATCTTGGACCCACTAACATGGTCATGGGAGAGCCCGGTGGAGCTCATGGGGCAGCCGGGCTGGCATCCAGCGGCAGGCGGTTCCTCGGGATGTGCAGCCGAGGGTCCCGACGGTGGAGCAGGCCTCCTGCTGAGGTGTCTTCCTTCTTCCACTCAGGCACACATGGACCCACACACAACTCCACACACATAGGACTGGTGGGATCCACACCTGCATTTGCTGGGCGCGTGTGGGCATGATACTACGGGCGCATCCACCGGGCACACACCATGTGCCCACACACGACTCTACACAGATCTGTGGGGTGTACACGTGCACACGCGACATCACACATGTACCCACAGGCCATCACATATACAACCGTGGGGTGTGCACATGTCATAGGTACATCTACAGAGCCCGCGCACATGCATGCATACAGTGTCATGCGTGACCAGAGGACACACACGTGCACACGTTTGCACGGATGTCACATGTGCATCCAGTGGTACACAGGCTCACTCACCTACTCACCTCACCCCTTCTGCCCCCCACATCAGGCTCCTTTCTCGTTCTGCCCCACAGCGACAACACCCCTGCCAAGGGGAATAAGAGTCCATCGCCTCCCCCAGACGGCTCCCCTGCTGCCACCCCGGACATCACGGTCAACCACGAGCCAGAGCCAGCCGGCGGGGCCGCCCCCGGGGCCACCCTCCCCAAGTCCCCGTCTCAGGTACGCGTCCTCCTCTTCCCCTTCCTCCTTCTCCTCGCTATCCCTTCCCTCTCGCACCTGTTCCTCTCTGGCCTGAGCAGGCTTGGAGCCAGAGGCTTTGTCCAGCTCCAGGGGCCCGTCCGTGACCGTGACCGGCTGGCTCTCCCTGAGTGTGGCTGCAACTTCCTTTTCTGCCTGCCTTCCCCGCTGGTGCTCTAGCCTGTCTCTTGCAGGGACGGAGGGAGGAGTTCAGCTGGGTGCATGGGCACGGAGAGGCAGGGCTCGGTGTGGGGCCCTGGATCGCCCAACTCAGCCCTGTCCTGCCAGGCGTGGCTCTGCATTGGGCGGATGCTGGACCGGGGGAGGAGCCAGGGTCTGCGGGGAAGAAGGCAGGGTCCCATCCAACTGTCCCGCCATCATCTGACAGGCCTCTCTCCCTGATCCCCCTCCCCTCTTTTTCTTTTCTTCCCCCTACAGCACTGCTGGGGTCTTCCTTGTGGGGACAGCCAGCAGCCCTAGCGCTGTCCATCATCTGTAGAGGGGCGGTGGGACTCTGGCTTCTTCTGTCTCCGGGGTGGGGTGGGGGCATGGCCTGGGGCGTGACTAACCAAGTGTCTGTCTCTGTTTCCCTTGCTCCCACGCGCCGCCCTCCCCTCCCCCGCGGCCCGCCCACAGCTCCGGAAAGGCCCACCTGTCCCCCCGCCTCCCAAACACACCCCGTCCAAGGAGATCAAGCAGGAGCAGATCCTCAGCCTGTTTGAGGACACGTTTGTCCCCGAGATCAGCGTGACCACCCCTTCCCAGGTCAGCCGCGACGCCGCGGCCCAGTCCTCCCACACTTGCTCTCTCTCTTGAGTTTGCATGGTCTCCGCCCTCCATCCATATCGGTGCCTCTGTCTCCACGGTCAGGAATCTGGCCCGTCATCCCCCATCACTCACTGTCCGTCTTGGAGCATGGCCTGTGGCCAGGTGCAGGGGCTCAGGTGAAAGGTGCCTGCCTGCCTCCTGGCGGTGGTGGCCGGCTCAAGGTGGTAGCCTCAAGGTGCGGCATGGGGAGCTGGGAACGCAGCCCAGTTGGCTACAGGCACTCCGGATGAGGCAGCAGTTTCTGCACAGGCCAGCAGGGGTCATTGTGGAGGGACTCAGGAGGGCGGGTGATGGAGGATTTGTGTGTGCGTGGCCGGGCACTGAGATCAGCTCCTTGAGCTTGTGCCCTAAGAGGCATGAGATGCCCGATTGCAAGCAGACAAGAGGAGGGCAGCAGCAAGGCGTCCTTTGGGAGAAGCACCTCCTTGGCTGCCGCCCATGCAGGCCTGCAGGGCTTTCTGCTGTCCTCACAGTGGTGGACACGGCCGGAGCTCTATGGGCCTGCTGACGTGGAGTCTCCACCTGCAGGATCCTAGGCTGGGTGGAGGGGGAGGTGTGTCCATAGGCTGGGATTTGAGCACAAGCATTTCCCCCTAAGGGAGGGTGGGCTTCAAACCCTGTGGAAGGACTTGGGGTTAGAACCAAGGCTGCCGCGAGGCAGGTGACAGGCCAATGGGGCCCCAGAGGTAGTTGAGCCAATCGCTGCAGCAGGTGGCAGGGTGGGAAGGTAGGGAGAGAAGTTTGGATGTCCACCGGGGCAGCTTACTGCTGCGGTCCTCCAGGAGAACAAGACAGTCTGGCCAGCAGCCAGCAAGTGGGCAGGTGTGAAGATGAGTGGCCTTCGGTCTAGAGGTATTGAGGTGGGGACAGGTGGGTGCACGCGGAGCACCTGCAGCCTGTCCAGGGAGCCAGAGCGAGGCCCTGTCAGGAGGTGGCCAGAGCCTGCCTACACCCAGGCCCTGAGCGCGCCTGGCCATCCATGTCACCGCATGCCTCTCTCATTTCCCCCTTGTGCTTTCTCCAGGGAACAGGGTGGGGGTATCTCCTGCATGGGGCGGGGAGGGAGGGGCCTCCTCCTAGTCTGTGATGCCGCTGCCAACCAAAGTCCCTGCTGTGGCGTGGTGAGTAGCCCAGGTTACTCGTGAGTGGGTGGGGTGGTGGCCTTGGACCTACATCCCAGGACAGGTGGCCAGATCATGACTGTCCCCCAGAAGCAAGGAGGCAGGGGACATGTTGAGTCTGCACATGTGTGACTTCTTCTAAGAAGGGGGTGGTACTGAGTATGGATGTGGAAAGGTAGGGGGCGACTGGGGTAGAGCTGCTGGCTGGATTGGGAACACTGGGAGGGTATATGGTGGGGGTGAGGATGGGGGTGGGGACAGACATCTCCCCACCCTGGGCTGCATCTGAGGGAGGATGGGATGCTGGGACTGGAGCAGACTCAGGGCTGGGCTTGGTGAGTTAGCTTGGGGCTGGGCCAGCATCTCTAACCCTTGACCTGTGGAACAGCTGGCCCCTGGCATTGCCAGGACTGGAATGGTCCCATTGGAGAGCTTCTGTCCACACTCTCAGGTCTCTGTCCTGCCTAATGAAGGCTATGATGTGGGCCTGGGCCCAGAGGAAACACCTTACCCCAATCCTTATCTGTCAGATAGTCTTGGAGAGGGGACAAGGGAAGCCAGCTGATCTGCACCTGGGAGACCGGGCACCCTCCCAGTGGGGCATGCGGACGAGAGGGAGAAGCCTGAAGAGAGTTCTCTCTGGCCTGCAAGATGGGGAGGTCCAAGGTGTGAGGTAGGGACAACAACCAGAAGGAACTCTGCTTGAACACAGACTTGTCTCTGGCTGCTGCGGCATTGGCTGTTGCCCATTCCTCGGGAAGTGCTGAACTGTGATTCTTTCCTGCCTCATCCAGGGCTCTCCCCGGGATGGCTCCAGGAAAGACCCTTCTGTGCCAAATGGTCTGGCCAAGCATGCAGTCAGGGTGTGGCAGCATCTGCTCCATGTACATTCCTAGGTCCTAGGTCTCCAGCGCCTGCTCCATGTACATTCCCAGATCCTTGTTCTCCAGCGCCTGCTCCATGTACATTCCCAGATCCTTGTTCTCCAGCGCCTGCTCCATGCACATTCCTAGGTTCCTGGTCTCCAGCACCTGCTCCATGCACATTCCCAGGTCCGAGTCTCGTTTGCCTGCTCCTTGCACATTCCTAGCTTCATGGTCTCCAGCGCCTGCTCCATGCGCATTCCCAGATCCTTGTTCTCCAGCGCCTGCTCCATGCGCATTCCTAGATCCCCGTCTCATGTGTCTGCTCCATGCACATTCCCAGATCCTTGTTCTCCAGCGCCTGCTCCATGCATATTCCCAGGTCTCTGGTCTCCAGCGCCTGCTCCATGCACATTCCCAGGTCCGAGTCTCGTGTGCCTGCTCCATGCGCATTCCCAGCTTCATGGTCTCCAGCGCCTTTTCCACGTGCATTGCTGCAGTGCACCCAGTCTCAGGACAAGTCTATTGTTGTAGCTGCTGGGCAAATCTGTGTCAGACAGAGGTGCTCCATGGTGCACTGAAGCCCTCTGGTATTGAGGACCTGACTTTGCAGTTGCGTTTCCAAGGCTACAGAGACAGGTTCAGCCTGTTTCCTCAGCCTTGAGGGCACGGGTGGATCTCCTACGGTGACCTGTTTACCTATCTGGAGTGCCTAGGGAAGATCTGTGTAAGGTGTTTGCATTCGGGGCCTCTCAGCCGGCACTCCCCTGGGATGCTCATATCCAACCCTATGCTATCCTGGATAGGGAGTAGGAGGCAGAACTGAGCCTGGGAGGTGGAGGTGCCTCAGGCTGCAAGGTCACAGGAGCTGGGCGCTGGCCTGGGGAGGCTGCTCCAGGGTGGGCTGTGTGCTGGGTGAAGAGTTGGGTGCTGAGGGCTGCCCTCATTTGGGTAGGATCTTGAACTAGGTAGGGCATGTATGTGAGGCGGATGGTCCAGTGTTGGGCGTATGTCGTGTCCATGTGTTGTCACATCTGTGTGTCATGCCCTTGTGCGCGCATCAAGAGCTACCAGCCCTCACTAACTGCTTTTCTCACCTGCTGCTGCCAAGTTTGAGGCCCCAGGCCCTTTCACGGAGCAGGCCAGCCTGCTGGACCTGGACTTCGACCCCCTCCCGCCCGTGGCCAGCCCTGTGAAGGCGCCCACACCCTCTGGTCAGGTTGGTTGTGCCTGGGCCTGCCGGCTCCTGGAGTCTGGGCCCTGGGCCCTGATTCTGCCCATGAAGGCCCACTTCCATCCAGCCCTGATGAGGGGCCTGGAGCAGACATGGGTCAGCTTGGAGACCCCTTAGGAGAAGGCCAGCGCTAACCTTCCTGCTGGGTCTCCTGGCAGTCCCTGAGGAGTGTCCAGTACTGGGCTGCAGGGCCCTGGGGTGGGAGTGGGTGGGCTCCCAGGGGGACACTTACGCACCTCTGTCTCTAACTCACCTCTGTGCTAACTCTCCTTCTCCTCTCACTGCTGCGCTCAGTCAATCCCGTGGGACCTCTGGGAGGTAAGCCTTGTGTGCACCCAGGCCAACCCTTCTGCGCAAGCCTGCACCCCCTGGCAACCGCCTCCACGTGGCTCATCACTCAGGCGCACATGCAGTGGGAACCTTCACATGGGAGCCTTCCCTTTGGAGGGTCTCACCTGTCTGATGCTGCCACTGCAGCAGGCCCGAGGGCCGGGGCTCCTCAGCTAGCCCTGAGATGAGGGTTGTCAGTGGTATTACCCAGGTTTCTGGGCCGGGGAGTGTCTGCTGCTGGGTGGTGGCCCTGTGCCCTTGTGTTCAGCGAAGGCCCGGGAATCCAGAAGGTCTGGTCTTGGGGAGAGTTGGGGTGTGCAGGGAGGGGCGAGGAAACGGGGGAAAGGGAGGTGAGGCAGGGAAGACGCGGTGAAGCCAGAGCCCGAAAAGAAATTGGGAAGCAGAGGGATGGAGGAACACACAGAGACCCACACAGGTGGGTGGGGTGGGTAGTGAGCGAGTACCCGTTCATGTAGGAACGGCGATTGAAGCTGGACCAGGCTGAAGCCAGAAGCCTGAAACTCCAGCAGGGTTTGCTGCTGTCAGTGTGTGCTTTAGCAGGGAGCTGAAGCAGAGCGGGGACCGGGAGCCAGACGCTCTGATGTCGCATACGTGTGGCCCCAGCAGTTGTCTTAGCCACTGTTTCACTGTGCCTGCCAGGGCCAAGGCCTGGGGACAGAGAAAGCCCAGTGCTCACAGGATGGATGTCATCTGATAGCTTGGGAGAACTGGGGTGTCCTGTGATGTGTGATGATGGAGCCAGAATTACAGCTGGGTTTCTTGGGCTTGGTCTGAAACTTTCTGACCAAAGTAGGTGGTGTGAAGGGGTAGGGTGGAGGTCCTTGGACTCCCACACCACAACCCTGATCCCAGGACCCCAGGGGGCCCCAGAAATGAGTATGTGCTGGCTGCAGGACCAGGCTCATGGGAAGCCTTAATGGCACCTGCCCAGAGTGAAGAGGAGGGAGAGGGGTGGCCAGGCGGCCCCTGGTTGGCTCCACGCTCCCTTTCCACCAACACTGGCTACTCACCACCATCTTTCTTGTCCTGTGCCCCCTCCCCTGCACCACCTCCTCCCCCTCCTTGTTTTCTCCTGGTGGCCTGTCACTAGCCCACTGAGAGTCCAGCGGGCAGCTTGCCTTCCAGGGAGCCCAGTGCTGCCGAGGGTACATTTGCTGTGGCCTGGCCCAGCCAAACATCTGAGCCTGGGCCCGTTCAAGTAAGTGTCCACCTGCCCTCCCTCCTTCCCACCCGGCTTGGCCTGGTCGCTGGGGCTATGCAACGGAGGAGGAGCCTAGAGCAGGAATGTAGGATGGGCCAGGTCACTGCAGGCTTGAACCAGGAAGCCCTAGGATGGGCAGAGGTGCTGGGACCTGGTTGGGGTCACACCTGCCATTCCTGACCTTCCCCCTCCTATCTCACCCCACCACCACTCAGGGAGGAGCCTTTTGAGCACCTGTTATGCGGGGCACATTCCAGAATTTTCTGTTAATGCTTCATTGTCATCTTTATCAGGCACACACTGGGAGCTAAGCCTTGGAGGTGGCCAGGACTGAGATCGGCCAATGTCAGCCCAGCTGTCGCTGGCTGAGGGACAAGGCGGAGCCCAGGGCTCCTGCTCTGAGTCTCAGACTGGGAGGAGCGTGTGCCACAGGCCCTGCCCAGCTGTGGACGGTGGGGAGGCTCTGTTGGGGCTCAGGCCTGTGGGTGGTGCCCCAGGGCGGGTCCCAGACTTCTCCAAGCCCCATCACTCATGTTGCTGTGGCTGCCAGCGCCTTGCCTTCAGCTGTCTCTGCAGGGCTCCCCGGATGGTGCGAGGGTATGTCCTGCCCGTGGCCCGGTTCCTGTGTCCCTGGTCGCGGTGTCTGACCCCATGCCGGCATTTATGTTGCAGCCAGCAGAGGCCTCGGAGGTGGAGGGGGGGACCCAGCCTGCGGCCGGAGCCCAGGAGCCTGGGGAGACGGCAGCAAGCGAAGCAGCCTCCGTAAGATGGCAGGGACCCACGACCCCATCCTCCCGCCCTCCCAGCTGTCCGCCTGCCTGTCTGTGGCTCCTGCGTGCTCCTTTGTCCGTGTTGTCCAGGGGCCTGGGGACAAGCGGGGCTCCCCTCCCCGTGGCCCTGCCCTCCCTGGACCTGCTGTCTCGCCTCCCCCTTTCGTCTCCTGCCCCCTACACACCCAGCTGACCTGTGCCTCTTTCCCTAGACCTCCCTTCCCGCTGTGGTAGTGGAGACCTTCTCAGCGACCGTGAACGGCACCGTGGAGGGCAGCAGCACAGCTGGGCGCCTGGACCTGCCCCCAGGCTTCATGTTCAAGGTGAGTGAATCCCGCAGGCTCACACAGTGGCTGCCCCCAGAGTGCGTGGGGTGTGGGGGCACCAAGCTCTGAGTCTTGATGGTGCTATTCCCCATCAGCGGGGTGGCCCAGAAGCCCTGATCCCCCCTCTGCCTTCTGCATGCCTGTCTAGGTCTCTACCATGGCAGGGCTGGCGCGGGGGTGGGGGCACTCCAGGGTCTCTGACCCACCTCTCCCACCCGTGCAGGTACAGGCACAGCATGACTACACAGCCACTGACACCGACGAGCTGCAGCTGAAGGCGGGCGACGTGGTGCTGGTGATTCCTTTCCCGAACCCGGAGGAACAGGTGAGTGGGGCAGGGCTGGCTGTGGCTGGAATGGGCACACAGGTGGTGGCAGAGGCCCATCACGAGCAGCCCGAGCAGCCCGAGCATCCTGGTAGCTGGCTGCCTTTGCCCTCTGCACCTGCCTCTTTGCTCAGTCTCCTCCCAGTCCCAGGCGGGCAGGAGACCCGACTATTGTCTCTTCTCATCAATGTCCTGGCTTCAGAGCCTCCCCACAGGCTAGGCTGTCCTTCTCAGTGTCAGGCCAGTGCTGTGACAGGCCCCCTGGCCATCAGGGGATGATACCTTGGGCTGCCCACCTGCTAGGCAGCCTGGTTGGGTTCACCCTGCTTGTTGCCAGGGTGTCCATTTGGCCAGCACATCCCTAGGTGTACATTGGGCTGGCTCTGGGAGGAATCCTACCTGGGTGGTGGTGGGTCTAAGCTGGGAACTGAGACCATAGGGCTGGGTAGTTCCCACCCCGGTCTGGTTCTCCAGGACCCGACAGTGTTGTTGGCCAGGCCTGCTTCAGTAGGATTTGAAGTAGCAGAACTCTAGCCTCCAGCTCACAGAGGCCAGCCAGGTGTCAGAGGGGGCCTGTTGGGACCTCAGTAGGGTCTGTGACAAGATGGGTCATGACATGGAGTGCAGTAACCGAGACCCACGGGCTCCCAGGCTGAGCCTAGGCTTAGGGGCAGCGAATGTCCAGCCCAAGCCAGCTGTGTCACTTCTGCCATCCCGAGTAACAGGAGCTGGAGATGTTATTGAAGCCAAGGACAGGGAGGAAATGGAGGGCTGAATGGGGAAGGCATGGGATCCTTCCAGAAGCTCTGAACTAGTGAATGTCCCTGGCATTTTTTTTATAGTGGCCAGGGGGCCTGGAAAAGCCTCCTTGGGCTGTAACCTTGGTGGACACCCAATGGTAAAAACTCTGGCCCTGGGTCTGGGAGAGCAGTTCAGACTGGAGCAGGTGCCCACGAGGTGACTGTGGGTGTCCGTGAGGGTCAGGGAGTGCCTTCCAGAGGAGGGGCCTCACACCTGTGCCCGCTGTGCTCTGCCCACAGGATGAAGGCTGGCTCATGGGCGTGAAGGAGAGTGACTGGAACCAGCACAAGGAGCTGGAAAAGTGCCGGGGCGTGTTCCCCGAGAATTTCACAGAGCGGGTGCAGTGAGCGCGACCCCGGACGATGTGTGTTCCTTTTTCCTTGTTTTCTGTTTTTGTTTTGAAAAATCTCAAGAAGCAAAGGAACTTGGCCGGGGAGGTTAGGCCGGGGCCCAGAGGTGCTCTCTCTGTCTCTCTCACCACAGGTGAGCAGGTTTTACTGAGAGCCTGGCCCCGGCCAGCCTGGTGGTGGTGGTCGGAGTCCCCGAAGCTGCTGTGTCCTTCCAATCCCTGGTCATTGAACTCCCAGCGTCCCCGCCTATGCCCGCATGTGTGCCTGGCCGCTGGACAGAGCTGGGGGCTGCTGAATGGGGTCCAGACATCAGCCCAGCCTGGCCCCGCCCCGCAGACCACCGTGTGCTGTTTGAAAATAAACCCCAGTGTTTAAAACAAGAGGAAACAAACAAAACCGACGAAGCCCTGGACGTGTCTCTGTGTGTTTCTTCGGCCTCCCTACTCTTTGTCTGCCAGACCATGGCTGATGCCGGCGTCCAGGTGGGCTCAGCTGGCCCTGCTCCTCCCTCTTCTCCCAGCTCCAGGGCATGTAGTCCTGGCCCTGACTGGGCAGCTGTGATGAGAGTTTGGCAGGGCAGCAGGGGTACTGTTCTGGGGCACACACAGGGTGAGCCTGGACTTCCCCACAGAAAGAATGTGGCTCAGTGTTTACCTGCTCTGAGAGTGGGAGCAAGTGAATGGCAGCTTGGACGTCCCTGGCAGGAGTGGGCTTCCTGGGCCCCTTCTTCATCCTTGAGATGATCTGTCAAGCCAGCTCTGCTGCCCACAGCTGTCACAACAGCTGCTGGGTCCAGGGAGCCTGTTTGCTGTTGCCTCTGCTTCTAACACTTAGACTTGGCCTTCCTGCCCGGGCCTCCTGGCTTTTCCTGTTGCTGGACAGAACTCAGGGAGCCTGTGCTCTGGGCAGGGGGTGACTTAGGGTCACTTAGGGTCACCCCCAGCCCAGAGCAGGAAGCTCTACTTCACTTCCAGCATGAAAATGTGGAGTGCACGCTATCTAGGATGACAGTGACATTCTCCTTTAGTGGCAGGCAGAGGTACAAGGATGCTTCATAGAGGTTGTCCGGAATGAAAGCTGAGCTTATTTGCTGCCAAGCAATCAGAAATCCAAGTGCAGGCTTTTGTAATAGGAAATATATAGTAAAACAACAACAACAACAACAAAAACATGTTTAGCATCCCTAATTTTTTTTTGTACGTGTTAAAACTCATAGTTAATTTCGCTTTCCCATAACAAAAAATTTTTTAAATGGATGTATTTATTTGAAAGCAGAGCTGCAGAGAGAGATCTGTCTGCTACTTTAGTCCCCAAATGTCTGCAGTGGCCAGGGCTGGGCCAAGTCAAGGACAGGCACCTGGAACTCCATCCAGGGCTCCCACATAGGTGCAGGGGTCCAAGCACTTGGGTCACATTTCGCTTCCTTTCCCAGACAATGTAGCAGGGAGTTGGATGGGAGGTGGAGCAGTGAATTCATGTAGGCCTCACAGGTGATGGCTTAAAGCCACAGTGCCAGCTCCTTTCCCACAACACTCTCAGAAGGACCTGCAGGTGGTTTTGAACTTCACTGCCTGACCCTCATGGGGGTCCTGACCCTGGGAGCTGGGGAATTTGGGCAGGAGAAGAAGGCCACCCCTGTGCTCTAAGTTAGGGCCTCCTTGAGGGAAGGAACTCTGGACTCAGCTCCCAGAGGAACAACCTGAGATGGGTGGGGCAGAGTGGATGGGGAGCTTGGGCTCAGCTGAAGAGATTGAAAGGGCTCAAGAGCTGGGCCAAAAGAGACCAGGGCTGAGGAGGGCAGCAGGCAAGTGTGGGTGGTATCCGTCATGCACGCACAACCTCACTGCATTGGCCAAGCCTAGTCCCCTGGGCCGGGGTCACACACAGGATGCAGGCTAGGTTTGTGGGTTCTGGGATTCACATCAAGGTTGGTGGCCCTCACAGTTGCCACCCATGCCCTGGGGCAGGGGGGCAGGAGGGCTTGCAGGCTGAGAAACTTGGCCACAGGCTGCTCCCTGTTCCTGGATCCCAACCAGCCCTAGCGATGACATCCATGTGGGCCTCTTTTGGATCCCCAGGAAAGCTACTTACTGCTTACTTCCCTGTATCTTATGGACCTGTTGGCTTGTGTTGGACACTGAGAACCAGGGATTGAAGGACTCAGCTATACCTCTTACCTGTTCCTCCTAGCTCAGGAAGGCACTCTGTCCAGCTCAGCTTGTATCCCTTGTCTGGCTGCAGTTGGCAAGCAGGCTCAGGTGGCATCTCAATTCTGTCTCAGGTACTTAGGAAAATCTATGCCCCTGCCTCACCCATCCCCCCAAATGCCAGCCTCCATGTAGGTGAGCCAACTTGGGTACCTTTGCCAAGTCAGCCAGGTGCCCACAGTGCCAGATGCATGTTCAGGATGTTAGCCATGTACTCCTGTACTCCTGTTCCCTGAGCAATGGTCTTTTCGTTGGTTCCCCAGTGTCACTCCCCAGCAGGTCTTGTGTCACTGGTCTCTGACTTGGGTTGGTCCCTAGCACTGAATCGTGCTGGGCTGAGAGTGGGATTTACTGGTGGGTCCACAATGAACAGACTACAAACAAAGCAGGGGCTTGGCTTTGTGGCAGGAGCGGAGACCCTGGGCCAAAGCTAGGGTATGGCGTCCAAGGAGAGATGGGAGATGGGTGCTAGGAGCTCAGACTGGTGACAGTCCATTCTGTGGTGGCTTCCAGAAAGGGTCACTCCCCCAGTCTGTGGGGTGGCCTCAAGTGCAGCCCAAGACTGGTCATTATTCCTATAGGTCTGAGCCTTCATGTTCCAGAAGGGAGATGTACCTGACACCTTGGCCTCCTGCCCCAGCACCTGCTCTGTGTCATTCAGGGACAGGAGAGACAGCCTGGACTTTCTTGCCACTGAGGTGCTGTCTCTGTGAAGGTCCAGTCTTCTAAACTTCCCTTCACTCATTCACTCCTCCCATCAGGTATTCACTCATTCACTCTTGCATTTAATCACTAATACATTCATTTGCTCCACTGAGTCACTCCTTCACCCACCTATTCATTCACTGACTTGTCCACTTGCTGGGTCATTCACTCATTTACTCATCCACTTACTGATCCACTCATTCACCCAGTCACTCATTTATTCACGAACTCTCACTCACCATTTCCCTGGTAGGTACTGAGGTTACAGACAAGATCAAGCTGTGATTCTTAAACCTGATGATGGAAGAGAAGCAGCCCAAGGGCATGGCAGGTGCAGCCATAGCAGGTGATGCTTGATGTTGTGTCCAAGGCCCTAGGGACAAAAAGCAGGAGCTGTCACCTTCCTTCGTGCAGGAGGCTGGCCCAGCTTAGCCTCTAGGGTTATCAGGAAGCTCTGGTTCAATTTGATTTGGCCCTTCCAGAAGTTGTTTGCAGAAATTTGGTTTGCAATGAACTGTTTTGAGAGGCAGTGGGGCTTTAAGAGCTCCACGCGCAGGCACTGATCAATGTCGCTCTCCAGGCTGAGGGTTCATTCTTGTGGGAGTGAGTACCCATTGGTCTCTGCTGCTTCCTGCCCTACCCTAGGATCCCTGACATTCCTCTGCAGGTGGTCATGCAGCTGGAGGCCCTAACAAGAAGCCACACAGATGGAAGTGTCATGCTCTCCGAGTTACCAGCTCCAGACATGAGTACTTGCAACTTCTGTTCTTGGTCGCCCAGGCTCTGATATTTATTTCAGTGACAGAAAACAGACTGAGTCACTGGCATTCTGAGGGACCAGTGCAGTGGGCAAGGCAGCATGTTGTGTGTGTGTGTGTGTGTGTGGAGGGGTCGGGGGTGGGCTCATGGGTGGCTGGAGCGAAAGTGGGCCAAAGTGAAAGAGCCTGCAGTGTTCACAGTCTCCCTGGGAGGCAGAGGGAGCAGAGAAGAGGTGAGGGTCCACAGGAGAGCTGACGGGTGGGAAGAGAGTGGCTCAGGGGTGACCACGAGCACTACAGGGAGGGGAAGAGGAGGTTTTAGGTCATGTGCTACTGAGGAGATGCTGGGTTCCTTCCTTGAGGCCAACGGAAAGGGAGAGTCAGCCCTGACCCTGGCCTCACCAGTCTGCTCTGGGGTCCCTAGGGCTTGGTGACTGTGAGGAGCACAAGCTATATGCACCTGCACCACCCCAGCCCTGACGCTGGTCATGCGGGAGAGCAGACTCCTGAGCTCAGGCCCTTCTCCGTATAATGGAGAGTAAACGGCACAGTGACAGCCCCTGGCCACAGATGAGCATCCAGGCTGTGGGGCAGAGCAGGGAGGGGATGAGTCACTTCCCTCATCCCAGCTGGCTGAGGTCAGTGCACCTGGCTGGAGTGTTGCTGATGCAAGCGGTTCTGCCATCTAGGGCCCCCTTCCTGTGTGAGCTGGAGAGGCTATGGGGAAGGAGGCACAGCTTTTTGCAAGAAACAGGATGAGACCCTGGTGCCCTGAGCTTGACCCCAATAGCTCCCAGAGCTAAGCCACCAGTTGACACCCCCTCATTCTTATTTTGACACCTAGGTTTTGTTTTGTTTTGTTAAACAGTTTAATGCATTTTCATGGCAAATATACAGGAAATGGCAGAAGACAGAAGGCATGTGCTTGCCTGTGGACAGCTCAGGAGGTCATAATGAATTGAAGAGATGCTCTGTGTGATTAAAAGTACTGCGAACACCATTTAGTTATCATCTGTAAGAAACACACTTGTTGGGGCCGGCATTGTGGTGCATAGTGTGTTAAACTGTTGCCTGTGGCACCAGCAATCCATATAGGCAGTAGTTTGTGTCCTGGCTGCTCCATTTCCCATCCAGCTTGCTGCAAATGCACCTGAGAAAGCAGCAGAGGATGGCCCAAATGCTTGGGCCCCAATGCTCACATGGGAGACCTGGAAGAAGCCCCTAGCTACTAGCTTTGGCCTGGCTCAACCTGGGTCATGGTGGCCATTTGGGGAATGAATCAGCAAATTGAGATTCTCTCTCTCTGCATCTATTCTCCTTTTTTGAAATTACACATTTCAAACAAACAAATAAATAAATCTTAAAAAAAA